AAAAAAAAAAAAAAAAAAAAAAAAAGTTCTTCATGAACTTCAGCAGCCAGAGTCTGGGCCACCGATGGATGAGGCTTGCAGTAAACTGGCATGAAAAACTGGTGCCAAAAGACAAGGCAGATGCAATTATGAAATCAACTGGGAGCCAGATATAGACTAATAAGAACCACCTCAGGTCAGCATTGCTGATGTAAAAAGTCCTCCCTTCCTGCTCGTACGTGTTCATGCAATTCTGAGCAGTAATCGCAGTAAGTAGAAGTATTTTGTTCTGTTTAGCCTTAATATTATTTCATTTGTTCTGAGGAGGACCCTGATTTATTTGGACTAGTTTTGGCCATGACTAAAAACCAAAACCAAATTTGAACTGTGAGCAGGTTGAATTCAATTAGCATCAAGATCATCATCTGAGACTAAGAATTTGCTTTGTTTTTCTTATCAAAACTGATTATTAGGTGAGATTTTTAAACAAGTATATGTGTATACATATAAAGATTTAGCCTGGAGTTTCTCAATTGATGAAAACAAATTTTATGTATAATATATATATATATTTTTTAATTTTACTTCGGAATTGACCCACTATTTATCTCGTTCTTTGTCCCCTTTTTTTCTTTTCCTGTTTTTTTAATAAACAAAGTGCCATGCTTACTATAAAGAGCCTACAGGTGAGCAAATAGACCTACCAGTACTTTGGCCTTTCAGTCTTAGAGAGCAGGAAAATAAATCACTGGGAGAAATCAACAGAATTCTATTTTTAACATTATTAAGTTTTGTTCATTGTTAGCATTTTAAGACATTTTCCTTTTACAGAAAATTCCAATACCTTTTGGAGGTTAATTATTCAGTCTGAGATAGAATACTAGCAGTATGTGTGGTGATTGTTTAAAAACTTTTGCTCTGCAAATACTTATTGATTGCCTACTGACTGCCAGTAGCTATACCAGGCACTGAGGAGACATACTCCCCACCCCAAAGTTTATAGATGAGTGAGTGGGGAGCAGGGAGGTAGCATCCTTACACAATTGGGTCACAGGGTCAGAGGCCCTGAGGTGTGCAACTGTTAATGGTTCTACAGCAGTGCTAGGTACTGCCTCTCCCTGCTGGGATCTGGGAGGTGTCTCTAGGACAGATGGCAGCTAATGTGGCTCTTGAAGGAGGATGAGGAGTTCAGACCAAGAGGGAGGGAAGAACATTCTAGGCAGAAGGAATAATGTGTGCCAGCTGCATGATGAACCAGGCCTGTCAAAATCAGTGAGAAGTATGGTGTGCCTGGGGTCTGGGTTGTGTGAGGAAAACAAGGACCAGAAAGAGAGATTGTCAGCAGTTTGAGAAGAGCTCTCTGTGCATACTAAACCCTTAGGATTTGACCCCCTCTAGGCAGTAGGTCATCCTAGAAGGCTTTTAAGCAAGGAGTCTGCATTTTTAGAAGGACAGCTCTGGGGCAGCGTGTTGGTAGGGAGACCAGTCCGGCACTCTCATTGGCTCCTGCACGCGGTACCATTTATTCATTCAACAAACATTTTTGCATCCAATGTCTATCTGTTAAGTGTCTCTTTTGTGCCAAGCGCTGCATTTTGTGATCTGTGGTTCTGCTAGTTTTCCTGCTTAGTTGTCTTTGTGATCAGCATATTCCATAAACATACAAACTATTTAAGTCAACATATTTACCTTTAAGAAAAACGTTCCCGACAAAGTTCTTTGTGAAATATTGCAGTGGATTGCTGCTTTTGCGCCTGTGTGGTCATGAGCTTCTGTCTATTGTTACACTCTTTATGGATGTCATTTATAATTTTAGAAAAATAGAATGTTAAAGCCCAAAAGATCTTAGATGTCATCTGGGCCAAATGTTTCCTTTCACACATAAAGGATTTCTGACCGAAAAAGATGAAGCTCAGTGTCACTTAGCTAGTCAGTTCCAGGGCTGGAACACAGGCTGTCTGCAAATTTGAGGTTCTTGCATTTTGAGATGCAAAAGACAAGAATTATACATTAGATGTGCACCATATTGGTTGAGGAAAAAGAAGGACATGACTTCTTTATGGCCTCTGCATCTCATGTTCCTCCACCTGACCTGACTTTACCGCTCTCTCATAGGCTCTCCTAGCAAGTTCTTTATTCACAGTTAACCCTGTGATCCATTCCTCCAGTGATCTGGTAGATGGCGAGAATAAGAATATTAAATTTCACTGCCAAATGATGAACCTGATTATAGCCCCAACTACCCACTAATAGTAAATTCATGAGCGTTTTAAAACCTTGTCAGTCCACAGCCTCATGAACACATGCTGTCCTAGTTATGAGGCTTAAGAAGAAAAGTTAAGAAGTCTTTAGGTGTTTAATAAGTAAGGGATGAGCCTCCCTCTCTGGGGTCCGCCTGAACCAGTCTCTGAGTGGGTCTTGCTGCATTTACAGACACGGGCTCCATCCGAAGTTTACAGACAGGTGTGGGAGAGCTACATGGGGAAACCAGATTCTGGCATGGAAAGGACTACTGCAATTTTGTCTTCAAAGATTGGGTTCAACTTGATAAACCTTTTGCTGGTAAGTACCATGGTAGTGGGTGGCTGCTTATATTTTGTCTTTTCCTTGTCAGCATCTCAACAAGTATGCATGTGCATGATCTAATATCTTTTGTTTTGTTTTGTTTTGAATATTTGGTAAAACACTGGAAACTATGATTCAGTCATGTACTTAAGGGCTTTTCCTTATAGTAAGAAAAGAAAATGAAATAGAGCTTACTTGTTGGAAATCTCCAGCTTCCGTATAGGCATATTTTAGGGGGGTAATAATCTGTAATTCTCCAGGAGATGGTTCCCTTCCTTTGATCATCTCCTTTTTTCTGTGTATCATCTTCATCTTCCAGCATTAAAACAACACATTTCAGATTATCACTGTGCTTGTATATCTAACAGGAAATAGGAACGTAGCTTAACATTATTTCAACAGGATAAAAAAGAAAAATGTAATGTCAAGTACACAGCTTTAAATAATTTGTACCAACTCACATCTGCCTTGCCTAGTGATTGTCTAATAAGTGAAGTGGAAACATATTTGGGAGAGGTGCATGGGACACTGTCTTCCTCAGTGTGAGATCTATGTTTCTCTTGGCTATAAAGGTATTGTTCTATCCAAGCCAAGTAATATACACACGGTGGGCATTACCACATTTTCTTATATGTATTGTAGTCAGGGTCACAGCTGGGGTCAGGTGGCTTGTGTGCCTCTGGGCACAGAAGTTAGCAAGGACCTTGCCTGGTGCACCTGGGCAGATTTCATTGACAGGCACTCCACCCCCCGGATGCCATGGCACGACATCGCCTCTGCAGTCCACGGGAAGGCGGCTCGCGACGTAGCCCGTCACTTCATCCAGCGCTGGAACTTCACAAAGGTACATAGGTGGTCTTATCGTGATTCAGTCCACGTGAAGAGAGAGAGGCCAGGAAAAGGAGGCGAGAAGGGGCTGCGGTAGCTGCAGCTGTGCTACCCATCCACTCTTGGGTGCCCGGTTGTCAGAGTGCCTGGGTCTCTGAGCAAAAGAAAATGTTCCTGAACTTTCACACCACAGACAATTCAGAGGGCGGAGGGATGATGCTACTATCACAGCCTATGGTTTAACCCTTTGAACACTTGGGACACTCAGTGTCGTTTAAGCATCTGGCCGGGGCTGATAGTCACGTGGAGGGCTGTCGGGCTACTGTAGGGGGATGGGAGCCTCGTTCAGGTGAGAGAGCTGGAGCTTGCAAGGCCTTCCAATCCTGGCACTGCCCTGGGCCCATATTGGTACAGGCTTCTGAGAGGCGGTTCTGAGCAAAGTGAGCAGTATGAGAAAATGGAGCCATTTTTCTTTTCTCCAGTCCGTGTCTTTAGTATATGATGCCTTCATTACTTGTAAGAATTTGACCTGACATTCCTAAGTTAAGTACCTATCGTCTAGGTGTTATTAAGATTCCATTTTATTTATAGAATCTTAATAAATAAAATGGTTTTATAGGCATTTTCTCCCTGCAATTTGGAAAAAGATTTAGTGTTACTAACAACTTAAAGTATCCCCTTATTTTCATTTAAATAACATTATAAACAGTTAGTGAGAGCTCTTAGAAATAGTGGAAATATTTTTAACAAGAATTTAGAGGCAAATGAATGAATAAATAAAAGGACAATATTTTTAACTTATTGGACTGACAAAGATAAAAACGCTGCAGATACCCACAATTGGGTTTGGGATCTATGATGGTCTTATACCTTGCTCCTGGGAGGGTAAATTGGTACAACTGCAGAAAACTTTTTAAAGGTATGTAACCTTTGACTCAGAAAATCTATTTCAGGTCTTTAAGCTAAAGAAGTTACTCAGTAAGTCATTTATCTTGACATTGCATCTAATAATTCATATAAAATGAGAAACAGCGGACATCCTCATTAATAGAAATCGTTAAACAAATTATGATTGTTCCATGCCATTTTACTATGAAATTGTTTTTAAATGATATATAGTGCTTTACTGCTGTTGCAAGATATCTACAACATAGTAAAAAATCAGTTTATAAAATAATCCCATTTTTGCAATTGTATATTTCCATAATTCCAGGTTGTATTTAAGTTTTCTTTAAAAATACAAAGCAATAATGCTTACTCCAAAAGGTAAAAGAAGGAAAAAGGGAGTTTTCTGTCCCTGGGAAATAGACAGAAAACAAAAATAAATAATCTCTTGCCTCTTCACCTAGAAACACCCATTGTTAATATTTCTTTCCCTTTTTCTTTTTCAAATGAACCTGAATTTTTTTTATAATCACAAAGTAAGGAAGACTGGAACTGTTTTTTTCATTTGAATCTTTTTTACCTGATTTTTCTTTATTTTAGATTATGAAACCAAAATATCGGTCCCTTTCTTATCCTTTTCTGCTTCCAAAATCTCAAACAACAGCCCATGAGTTGAAACACCAAGTGCCTGGGTCTGTCCATGCTAATGTACAGGTAAGTCTGGCTTTTCTTTTTCATGAATTACTACTGGGTACAATCACTCTTACTGGACTAAATGCCTCTTGGCTTCAAGTTTTGCAATAATGACAACTCCAAAGCAAATCTAAATAGACCTTTTAAAACTTAGTATTGTATTTTCTATTTTAAATGTACTCAATTTATCCTCTTGTTAAAACTCTCGTATAAATATAATAAATGCATATCTTTAGAAAAGGCCACTCAAGGAGAGGCTTGTCCTGTAATTCCTTCTGAAGTGATTCTAGCAACATGATACCCAGTAAACCTGGAGCTGATACCAGTGAAGCACCAGGAATACGGCTGAAACTTCGCATCTAGGAAGCTAGTTATAGTTCAATCTAATTTTAGTTCCTAATTAACCAAATGCCTTTTAGAGACACTTTTAAAAGAATGAGAAATTTGCTTATTAAAGTAACAAAATTTGACCACATCCAGTACAACATTCTCAAATTACAAATAAGAAAATTAAGACCCAGTGAAACTTTGAGACTTGCCCAGGGTCATCGAGCTGGTTATCAACAGAGGTGGAGCTTGAAATCCTAGTCCACGGTTACCCAATCTGCTCCCTGTACCAGCTCCAGCTCAAGTGTCTTGAGATCATGCAGGGACAGAACTAGGATTGCATTGCCTTTTATTCACAGTCATCACTATCGGCGTCAAATGTATTGTTTAAGTACAGAACAGATTGGTGTTTGCGAAAGGCAAAGGGTGGGATGGAAGGCGTGCAGAAATGGGTGACAGGGGTCAAAAGGTACAGCTTCCCGTTTTACTCTTAATAAGTCCTGGGATGTAATGTAGAGCATGGTGACTGTAGTTAACAGCACTGTGTTGTATATTTGAATGTTGCTAAGGGAGTAGATCTTAAAAGTTCTCATCACAAGAAAAAAAATTTGTAAGTATGTGAAGTGATGGATGTTAACTAAACTTATTGTGCTAATCCTTTCACAATATAGACAGATATCAATTTTTTTTAAATGTATTTTTTAAGTGAAGATCCAGTAGTCTGCTGCTGACATCACTATTATGGATTTATTTAATTTGGATATGGATTCTGGTGAATATGATTATATAAATGGAACGCCTAAATCAGTTACTTTGTACTACGTGCAAGGAGAGGTGTGTGTATCTAAGAAATAAAAAGACATTTCAGACCATAGATCAAATAATAGAACAATCAAAAAGATAAATCACTTAAGAGAATTACCTACAGCAAATACTTTGTCATCCCAGGCTAAAGGAGATAACTAATTTAAACTTAGAGGCACAGATAGATATGCATTCATATGTAAGTTAATGAATATTTTATGAACCTGTTTAATTTTATTCTACTTAGAGGGAAAAATAACCTGTGCTGTAAGATAAAATAGGAGCCTTGATATTAAGAAAATAAGAGAATTTAATTTAATATTGGAGATGGCATTAAAATTGACTCAGTGATCAACTTATCCAAGTTAGCCGATGCTAATTAAGCGTCTGTTGAAAAGTTATTTCTGAGAATTGTGTATTTTTATGATTAGCAAAAGATGGTTTATCCCAGTGTTGCATATACATACATCTTCTAATGTTTTTTGGTAAAGCCCTGGTTTATGTAATCTCTTCCTGCCACCCTGATGAGGCAGATAGATGCTCTGCATATCCGCCCTACAAAACGCCTCCCTTGGTTCGCCTTCTCCCTATCAGTGGATGTTGTGGTAGAAATGGTGCTAGATCAGTGACTTCTTAACATGCTCACATGTTCATCCCTGACATGCCCAGGCTGCCAATTGATTTGAAAGGAAGTTTACCAAGACTCATTAGTTCATTTATTCAGTCAATTTATGTCTGCTAAGTGCCATCTGTTTGCACAGTCAAATCATCAGTGAGCACCTGGATACTGAGGAGACAGACAAAAGGAGTTATCTGCCTCTGGAAAAGGAGTTAGATGGGGGAGAGGAAGCTGTGATGTTAAAGAATTCGGTTAACAACGCAAGGTGTGGTCTAGGACCAAATGCCAGTCTTGAGAGTATGGACCAGCATGCCATGAGAGGTTGGCAAATGAGAGGGACAGAACTGGGTACCCCCTTTAAGGAATAAGTCTGCTGCTCAGAAGATGGTAGAACCCACTGCAGCAAACCATTTGCTCTTGAAGAGGTAGTAGATGAGGTTCAGACAGCATAAGGCCAGATTGGGGATGCCCTGAAGTGCTGGCCTGGTTGATTTTGACCTGCTCCTGGAGGCATTAGTGAACTTTGGAATGTTTTTTTGTCATCTGAGAGGAAGCATGATACATGAATGTTTTATGAAGATTAATCTAGATCAGAGTTTCCCTAATTGGGTTTTGTCTGTGAAATGCTAATAGCTATTCCACAAAAAAAGGTTTCCATGGACGGATAAGATTTTGCAGATTTTTAAAATATAGGACTTCTTAGTGCCTTCGTTATGTCGATGTGCATAATGAAATTACTAAGACTGAATATTCTATGAGCATTTCCCAAGCTTAATTGATGTAGGATCTCTCAATTTGTCACCTATTTCCGTTTTTCCAACCAAACACACTTTGGGACCTAAAGTTTATACATGTGAAAAACTTATAAGACTAGAAAGAGAATGAACACAGGAGACAAGTAAAGAGACTGCTATAGTAATTCTAGAATACACTAATTTTGTGTTTATAAATTAGTATTCTTTTTCTTAAAGAAGACTCCCCCATAGTTTAAAAAGTTTTAGACCTCACAAAACATCTACTGGTTGCCAGTAGATGTTTTGCAGAACTGCCAAAATAACTCCAGTTGTGAAAACAATGGGCACCACCAGGCAGTGCATCTTTTTGAAGACAGGAAAATCTGAGATGACCAGACACTGAAGAAAAGAAAAGAAATTACCCGGCTCCATTTCTCCTTTTCTGTAAAATTCTGACCGCAGTATTGTTTCACTTCACATTGCTTACTGGCTCTAAACATTATTCACCTTGTTCTAGGCATTGTTGTTGTCAAGTTATGAATGTATAGTGCTTAGCGGGTAAAAGCAATAATCTAGTCCAATCCCTGGTTTTCCAGAGAATCCAGAAGACATCAGGGAGATAGGGACCTGGCTGTGTAGGAGGCTACTTAAGTTTTAAAAAGTTTATTGTCGTATTTTCAAGTCTTTCACTCTCTCAGTTACATTGTGGCAATAGCCAAATGACTGTTAAATACTCTTGGTTGAGAAATTTAATAAAACTTAATAAAAGTCTTCTTATTCTTTTTAACATTGATTTTAACATAGTTTTTAACGTAGTTTATTGTTCATAACATAACTTAGAGACCACAAGCTTAATTAACTGGAAAGGAGCGATGAAATGTAGCCAGGGGAAGGGGCAGACTGTATTCAAATTCCTGTCTCCAGGCTTCCCTGGTGGCGCAGTGGTTGAGAGTCTGCCTGCCGATGCAGGGGACACGGGTTCGTGCCCCGGATGGGGAAGATCTCACATGCCGCGGAGTGGCTGGGCCCGTGAGCCATGGCCTCTCAGCCTGCTCATCCAGAGCCTGTGCTCTGCAACACAAGAGGCCACAACAGTGAGAGGCCCGCGTACCCCCCGAAAAAAAAAAAAAAATTCCTGTCTCACTACATACGAGCTGTATAACCTTGGGAAAATTATCTCACCTCTCTGAATGTGTTTCCTTCATCTTTAAAACAGGAAACACAATAGTACCTGTCTCATAGGGTTGTGGTGATAGTTAAATAAATTAATCCATGCAAATCACCTAGAAGAGTATACTAGTTTGAATTCTATCAATATTAGCTACAACCTTCAAGCATTCCCTAGTGTTTTCAAAAGTTTGCAACAAAGAAGCTGGTATTTCTCTGGATGGGTCACAGGCTAGTTCTGGATGCAAAAATCTTTATACTATTTATACCATATATATTGAAATGGAGAGAGAAAGAGCATTGGACACAATAAAGTAAATAATAGATAAAATTCACGTTGTTCTTGGGCTTCCCTGGTGGCGCAGTGGTTAAGAATCTGCCTGCCAATGCAGGGGACACAGGTTCGAGCCCTGATCTGGGAAGATCCCACATGCCGTGGAGCAACTAAGCCCATGCGCCACAATTACTGAGCCTGCGCTCTAGAGCCCGCGAGCCACAGCTACTGAGCCTGTGAGCCACAACTACTGAAACCCATGCGCCTAGAGCCCGTGCTCCACAAGAGAAGCCACCACAATGAGAAGCCTGCGCACCGCAACAAAGAGTAGCCCCCGCTCGCCGCAACTAGAGAAAGTCCGCGCGTAGCAACGAAGACCCAATGCAGCCAAAAAAAAAAAAAAAAAAAGATTTAAAGAAAAAAAACTCATGTTGTTCTTTCATTTGCAGAAGGGAACCCAGTTATTTAATTTTTTAATACAAAAGCACTGGGCCCAATCACCCTTAGGCATGTACTACTGGTGATTCCACACCAGCTACATGCATAGCTGTTGCAGAAGCTATGGCCGACAGGGCCGGCCAAGGAGACTAGAGCTAAAGCAGCCAGAATGGAGACCTGCCCTCACCAACATGAATTTCTGCTTCTAAAAATGTCATCCAGACCTGAGAACTGACTTCAGCAACTTCCACTGACACTTCAAAATAATCTTGGGTGTTTCCCCTCAGTGCTGGGTATTCTCAGAAGCCTGCCAAGAACACTCAGAGAAGGCATAGCAGGAGACAGGCATGGGGAGGGGGTTGGAAGAAAGATGGTTCTGAAACTGCTTAGGCACAGAGTTTATAAAAGAACTTGTTTTCTCCCTAAAAAGAACAAACTATGTTCCTGAATGCTATCGTTGCCACTTACGATAAATGAGCAAGACAGAGGACATCTGACATCACTATTAAGGTAAAAGAAAGTTCTTGATGCCAAATTAGCGTTAACGCAGAATCGATACGTGGAACAATCCTTTTTATTAAATTGGGCAGCTTATAGTAGAAAAGTCATTTCTTAGACAGTCATTGCCAAGAAGTTCTACCAAACTGAAGGAAATAAT